TTCAATCAGTATGCAAATATGTATATATACATATTCTGTGTCCGAAAAGCTTAGTTTCTTTTCAGCGTGTTGGCGTCCGCAATGGATTAAAGGCAAGCCCGGGATAAAATTGGTGATAAAGCGCTTCGTAGTGATGACTGAGCTGCGGACGGCCTGAAAGTGGAAAGGAAAGCTAGAGAAATCTTTGGGATCGCTGAAATTAAGGCCAACCTTCAAAAAGGTCGGATGTGGAACGCGAGGCAGGGCGGTCAAAGAAGACGAAGTACGCGAGAGCCCGTTCGTTTGACAACCCCGTTCGAGAGAGCACGCCGATATCGAGGTGGGTGGGAAGGGTCGATGGTTGCACGCCCGTAAGGATTAGCGCCCTAACCGCGCAACTTTTGCGGCGAAGCTGGAGTGATCTAGGTAGGTAGGGACCTTACAATTTCCCTCGCGGTATCCTTCCTACAAGTCGGGCTAATCCCGGGGTCTGCCTTCAATCTGTATTACAATGTCAAATGTTTAGAACGCGCCAAAACGGCTGCTTTCGATGCAACCTCCACGTATTGGAAAGTTCTACAAAATGCTTCTAACCCACATGTAAATTACATCAGTGCTGATTCGATGCCCTCACTCGAACAGTAGTCTTGGTTTAGGCAAACCAAATCCCAACCTAGGGTAAAACGATTGATAACTGGCCGTGTAAAGTCCCCTGTGTTTTCCGAACGCAAACTGCATTCCAAAGCAAAACGAGATTTAACCTATCTACACTGCCCTTCGGCTATCCTTATCCGCTACGCTGCGCCGTATATCCATGTCGCACGGTGGGCGAGCGGCGAAGTAGCTCGGTCCGTAGATTAGCGTCATCAGATCCCTCTGGCAAGCATTAATCGGCACGACTTCCGATCCGCACGAAACGCACATATCCGTTATTCGCGGACTGCTCAATGCCTAACCCACGCAGATTTCATTGCTGCGACAGTTCTACGCTCTCATCGGTAATTGTTTGTATCAGAAACACTATACGAAGAGATGTTAAAGGAATCTTCCACGGACCATGGACCAGTGGGCGGGACCGGAAGTTTTTGTGACGAAATGCATGGTAGGTACGGATCCACGTGTCGAACGCACGAACGTGAACAGGATTCACTTCAAACCTTCCCATGAACGTGGATCCGTACCTACCATGCATTTCGTCGCAAAACCACTTCCGGTCCCGCCCACTGGTCCATGGTCCGTGGAAGATTCCTTCAAAATACACAGCACGATGTCGATAGCTAACGAACCATAGGCAATCATCAGACTGCCAACTCCGCCACAAAATCTACCTCTAAAATTATTCTCAAGAAGGATTCCACGATAACGTAAAAGGTTGGAGTGTAAATATGTCTAGTGGAAAGGCAGGCGAGCGCAAGGATGCGGGATGATGCCGATTCTGCAGCGAAGGGCACACCTCCAGCGGCTACGGGCCATACCGCCGCTGCCCGCTTACCACTAACCGTTTGACTTTACCCGTTCTAGGCAAAAGTAAGTACCGTTTGTCGGATACTAGGAGGTTTTTCATGTTTTTTTCCTGGTCTCTGCACCACTGACCACCTCACCATGATTTTTAGTAGGCTGTCTTTTCACCAAGAACTCCGCCTTTCAAGACAATGTTCGGGACCAAATTGATGTAACGCCAGTAAAGAAAAGCGAAGAGACCGGGTCAACAAGGATGAAAAAGTTATTAACCATTTCCCCGTAGCGATGAGCGAAATAGCATCGAGATGGGGTGGGGTCTACGGTGGTGGCCGGGTCTCAAATCATCGCCAAGGGTACATGCTATGTGTTTGCGTTCCAGTCCATATCTTTTTTCGCAAAGCTTCATCCAGAATTCCTAGACTTTGCCTTCCATCGTTAACCCCGGCACTCGAAACCTTTATGCTTGAAACGGATAAAATACCCCATCCCCAAACCCTCGTCGAGAATTCCTCGACCAACGCTTGCCCATGTTTGTTGACAGAAAAGAAAAAATCGGAGATAGGGCTTCAAAAAACAGGTGTAGGATCAATGACAGGATTACTGTGACTTCTCTAGCACTTTTGTCGTTAGAAAAGAACTCAATAATTGTTGCATTAGCCTTTATTGAACTTCGCGTGTACCGTATTGTTTAAAAAAATAGTGAAAATAAAAAATTTGTCGGAGTTGTTTCACAAGGTATTCAGAAAACGAGCTGACCTACTCGAATTAGAAGTTAAACGCCATAACATAATCCTTCGATTACAAACAAACTAATTACTCTTCGTTCGTTTAGTTAGTTTATCTACGATTTCAAAGAGATTGCTACTAGTTATTTTTATTCGACGGTCGCTTCCTGGTCGATCTGAAAACGTAGGCATCAGTTTTTAAGCAATTCCGCATATACAGTAGCGGTCAAAAGTGTTCGCCGAAACGATTTTTCAGTGCATTATTTTTTCTCGCTTGAGCAACGCCCTCAAAGATTGATATGCTATGTTTCTAGTGTTTTTATATCCTCAAGTCTTAAAGAATCAGAATACACCATTGATTTTTTTGGCAAAAAAAGAGAAGCGCGAAAAACCGTTTCGGCAAACACTTGTGACCGCTACCGTAATTGTAGAAATTATGTAACAATAAAGTAGACCTCCACAATATCTTCGGAATCTATGAGGAACATATCGCAGTCGTTGATACGTTTCTTTCGTGTGGCCCACATGCTGAAAAGTCACGTATACAAAGAGGAGGACTAAATCGTCATGACCACTCAAGAAGAGATGTATTCCACTGGATGTTGGTTAACAAGGAAAGGAAGTAAGGAAGGATCTATTTGGATGGCAGGATATGTGCCCTTACTTAACACATTGGCGACCAAGCAGTTTTTGGGTGTTCCCGAAAATTGCGTCCTAATGCTGAAACGCTTCCATACGGTGTACATACCAAATCAATGAGAACACAATGCGGAAACTGCTGAAACATCATTTGTCTCGTACAAATGCTTAATGGCTGCAAACCAAGCAAAAATCTCCCCGTCCCGCAAAGGTGAAACTTCGGAACGCTCTCGGAAAATTCCAATTTTCCACTGTAGAATCCACAAATGAGGTTGAACACAAATCTCTTTTTTGCCAATTGTTGTATCATTGAGCTAGCTAATAGCATACAAAAAGGCAGCTTTCTACATCAAGAAAGAACAACCTTATCACTGAAGAAGCAATTCCAAGCAACCCTTCTGTAAAACTTTCACTGTGAAAGATGTTCAAAGAACGTGGCCATTACAAGTTTGACAACGTATTCCGGGTTAATATAGCACCGCTCAAAATTTGGAATATGCGCAAAGGAATAAAATTCAAGGGGTGTCGCCCGGCATCGGGCGACATTGTCGTCAATGTGTTAATACGTTGAGACAGCATGACGCGCATGCGCGTCAGAATTTCACCCTGCTCTAACTAGTTTTTTTTTTATTTGGCATTTTTCATATTTCAAAACTGTGTGCATGCATTATCTTATCCGAAAAACTGTGCATCAATTACCAGTAGTGGAATTATTGAAGAAGTTATGACGATTGTGAAAAAAATAAACAAAAAGTTGCCAAGGTACACGCATAAGGGGCTGTCGTCAACGTGTTAAAGTTTGAAACCACTATAGTGGAAGTAAGTAAAACCTTGCTTTTCAACCCACAACCGTCCTTTTGATCAAAAGTTCTTCTACGTTACACCCGGATAACCTTACCACATTGAACGTTGTTGAATCATTTTGTACCATCCAGATTGTGCGTAATTACCAGTTGAAACACGGGCGTGAGGTAAGGCGACTGCGCTCGTGAAACTGCGCATGCGGTACAACGCGGCCAAAAGCCAAAATGCTTGTCGTCAGCTTGTTAAGACCGCCGTCACACTCGGTTAGCGACGCGATCGCTCCATCGCTTGTCCGTCGCCGAGTGTGACGGCGGCCTAAACGCTGATCTCAAGTTTATCTTCTAAATCTGCTACACGAATCTGTGAGCAGAGGTATGAAACGAAAAACGATAATGGTCAGGGCCCGGGTCAAGCGCACGCTGAGAAATTGTCCACGGAGGTTAATGTGAGGTCCAGTAGGAAAGAGGGGATCGTAAGGGACAGGATCAGCAATATTTGGAGCAGCGGTAGCATGTTCGGCAGAGAATGGGAGCACGACTCGCGCCAAATGTCAGTGCACGGCGCGTCCCTGAGCGAGTTCGACCGTTACCGTGCGCTTTCATTCCCGTTCCCTGCAACCCTGCAATGGAGATGAGAGTTTGAAAGACATCAGGAATTTCCAGAAAAGGGATTGCTGATATTGGCAAGAAGGAGTTCACTACTCAGGAATTAGAGTATTTGTCAGTGCTAACTTCATAAACATGCACTCAGTTAAAGGCAGCGATTACGGCAGCTTCTGGAAGAGTTTAGAGGGAGTAAGGTGCTCAATGGTGCACCAATGGCGAAGAAAGCAGAGAAATCTATCAAGGAAAAGGGACACTCTTGTAGACCGTTGATCTTCGTTCAACGATGGGCAGCGTGGCTAAAACGACGGACGTGTGAGCGATTCCACCGCAACGCGCTCCTAGTGTTAAGATGCCTATCCATGTTCTAATCGAGCTGCCTCAGTATGTGTCATTGCTAGGCAATCACAGTATCGATTCACAACTAAACTTTTAGTGAGCGGATCCGCTTTTCGGGAGGGAAGGGTCAGCACAAGCCCATCTTTTCGTTCGTGAAATTCGCCACACCCCACTCCTGCAGCAAGCTGCTGTGTTACGGTGCACATAATACAATCCCGCTTCGCGCTCCCTCGATCCTAACCGCTTCTTCAGTGGAGTTCATGATAGACCTTCTAACACGTATTGAAAAACGGAAAGCTTGTGAATGCTAACGATGTTTTCATATTTGCATGAAATTGTCCATGAAGGAAGCTATGGTCGTTGAAAGAGTGCAACGCAACGAAGGAAGTTTACGCGGTGGTACTCGGACCAAAATCCCCCCAACTAGGTCACTTGAGATGCCGGACGTATCAAACCATGCTGACAAACACTGAATAAAGGAAATATTCCGATTTACAGCGATGTATTAGCTCTTTTGATCAGATGCATCTGAAGGAAGTTATGGCTTTCAAATCTGTGTAAAACTTGCGCTTCTCAAGAATTTCCTCGTGATTTTTGCAAAAATCATCAACGGAGCAATTTTTGATATACCGAATGTATCAAGAATTTCAAAAATTGTTGAATAGAGAAAATCTTCTGTTTATGACGCCACTCAAAACTTTCGGGCAATAGCATTTGAGGGAACTTATGACTTTATGAAGTGTGATACTCGGACTTTTCGAGAATCTTCCTTGTTAGTTCTCAGGAAAGAGTATTTCCTTGTTATTCTCCTGAATGCAGTACTTACTACAAAGTACACGTCGAGTTACTCCCAAAAATTCTTTGTTTGAAGCTTGTCGACGTTGAAAGTAGTTAGGTCATTTTACGTGTTCAATTTTCAACGTGTTTCCTTATTTTAGAAAATAAACTGCTCAAACGTCAACACGTGCGTTCAAAGGCAATCTTCTACTCACAGGCCATCTCCACGCGGAGAAAAGTTGTTACTAGGGGGGGGGGAGAACGTATCTCACCTCAGAGTTTTCCTCGCCCCACTTGACACTGGTCGAGATCCACAAGCAAAATGTCGTGAAATCGATTACCATTCGTGTTTACTCCTTTGCTTTTTCAGCAAGCAGCTGGATAACTTTATAGAAGCTTTCTTCGCTAACGATCGCCTAGATGCTCTGCACGAAGAGTGCGAGAGCAGTTGCCGACGAGTTTGGGCTCTATTTCCCCAACATAGCGCATATAGCGCAAGTGCCAAACGCGTGCCAGTGCCATGGCAGAAGCTAGTGTGAAATTCGTAATTGAACAGTCATATTACTCCATGACCACACTCGTAGCCAATATAGAATTTTAATTTGACTACGAAAAAGATGGGTTCTATCACACTGCTATCGACTGGTTTCTGAGTGTAGTTACCCTTTGGACCTGTTTCGCATCACTTTGTCATCAGTTCTCCTTTGCTCTGCAGTTACCCACGCAGTACACTGCCAAACTCCAACGGAAATAATTTCCAAAAAAGCGTCAACTGACCCCGTCTTGTTTTGCATATGCGACGGAACAGTTTGTGCTGCCATGAACAATCTTCATGTAGCCTTTTTGCGTGTTGAGTAGAAACAATCGCCACGTTTGCAATTTTTCAGAAATTTCATGGTCCCGGTCACCATTTGGGAGCCACGTCACGACTTCTTAGAATATTACACATTCTCGTGACATTAATCGATTTTTGAATGGGCTGAAGCGCAGAACGCGATGATGATAGAGCGCGTTTTCTGTTTTGCGGCTAAGTCGCTCGCAAGCTTAAAGCAACAGTTCAGGGAGGGTCCGAAAATTTCAATGCCACTACTACTGAGGGATACACGAGCCCTAGTGAAGAACATATGCAGTGGAAATAATAAACGAACTTACCTCAGAAACTCAAAAACAGGGTGGAAAGTCCCTCAAACATGGGTGTTCTTGGGGATTTCCCCAATCCCGCCCCCTTGCCGGCCGTCATTGGACGCGTCGGCAATCGTGCTCGTTTTGGGACCACAGGGAAAATTGATTGAAAAATGGAGCGCGTTTACAGCGGGCACGTTCAGACAACTCGTCCAACGTGCGTCTTTATCCATTGCTGAGCGGCAGAGGGAGAGTACCTGTCTAAGACCCTCCCCGACGTTTTTTTCCAGTTTTTCATACATTAATCGTCTGGTTTTCATCTACAACTTCATTATTGGTGGTTTTTTCCCGCGAAACCGTTCCTGAACTGTTGCTTTAAGCAAATATAGGCAACGTTGAAGAACCAAAAACCAAAGAATTGAAGAGGAACCCTGCCGGAAAAAGGAAATGACAAACTTTTCAAGGAACTGAGCCCACGAGTGCATGCCTTTGAGTTCGTTCCGTTGCCACCTGCGCTACCGCTGAATGATTCCACACTTCTATTGCCTTACATGCCCAACAACGTGGGAATAAGAATCGTGACACAGTGTTGATTCGAGAAATTGATTTAGTACCGGCCCAAGTTGTTCACAGCATGGACGTTTCACCCTGAAGGGTATCATGGCCTAGTATCTTTCCCTTGTCAAAAGAGTGACCCAAACTAATAAAGGGAACAAACCTAATCTGTTTGTTTGAAGTCAGTTTCGCGTCGATAAGTCCTTCCAATCGCCTCGCTGGTGCCATCATCTGAGATATAAAGACTAAGATGCTCTGACATGAGCGGTGATAAAAAAAGAGGAAAGAACTGAACTGGAAAAGTTTACCGGTATTTTGTGCACACAGTTCAGCAAGAAATACTTTTCATTGCCAACTTGAACGCGCTTTACATTTCCTGGGATACTCAGATCACAGCGAAGAAATATCTGAACGAATTCTTCACAGGAACTGCGTACTCACAAGATAATATGATCACGTTTTCTTCACAGAAAAATATCAAAAACAGAACTATCACCTGGAGCAAATTACAGACAATGCGCTGATCCCATGGCTCCACTGGAGGCTGCCGTTGTGGAACTGAGCATATTTTTGTAGCAATGTGCGAGAAATGAGGTGGTCGGATGTCGTCGTATTCCCTACCACAGCGCGGCTCACACACAACATTTATCCACTGTCCTAATTCGAGAAACCTCATCCCACCAGTAATACATAGGGAATTTCTGAAAAATCGCATCTACTTTAACTCATATGAAGCGCTAATGGCCGAGGTACAATAGTGACAGCTTTTTTCTTCGTATTCGCAACATCATTTACTTTTTCGGAAAAAGCAATACACCTCAACAGCGCAGAACATGTGTAGAAGAAAATGCGAAATGATATTTCGCGCAAAGATAATGCTTTTGCAAGACAAGGAACTTGTGTTAATTTCGATTGAAGAATTTTGGAAATTAATTATTCT